GAAGTCAAAAGAGAGTTTCACAAATGCAAGAAAAGGACTTACAACTACATCAAGCCATTTGCTGTATTGACAAATTTGCGGTCGAAGGAGACATTTCTATGCATAGAAAGGCCTTCTTGAGACCCTTATTCAAATGCGCCTCTGTTGTCAACAGATGACCACAGGAACTTTTTTAAGGCTCCTGGGATAATTAACCTAGTTGGCGGCAGACTAAATATCTGGATCTAGATTGCTGCCACCAAAGAATCGTTCCCGGGGTTCATGTATAGTTAGCAAGAGACATAGTCCTTGTGGCCAACGCTTCCAGGGCCGAGGGCACAGTTAGAAGTTCATATACCGGAGACAGGCCCTACTTTGGTATTTCTAAAATTCCGATGCCCTCTTGTAATATTTAATTCTTACATATTGAAACTTTTACGTGAAGGAAGCTTAAAATGCCATTAACTTGGTCTCTAAACAAGTCTCCAAAGACCATGAAAGAGAAAAATTTAAAAGCCGAAAAGACAGTTAAATATATATAGTTTCAAAACATATAATACAGAACTGAAAGGTAGAAATATAAAATATTTGAATTAAAGTTTATTCTGCAATATACTTTGATCATTTTAATCATGAAAAAATAATGCAAAATGAAATTTGAGTTCACTAGAAAACAATTCCTTGTTAATAACTCATTCTCAAATTGCTCCCTTATTCTGTTGATATCAGTAAGCCAAATGGTGCATATCCTACGCATGCCCCACCTAAACATTACTATACCCTACCGGCGGGGCATGCGTCCCACGTTGGGAATCATTGATATAGATAGATGGTATAGATGATTCACTCTGGAATAAAGGCGAAACAACAGCTTACAATGTTTTTTTTATAAGAACAAAAATGAGGGAAATAGGCGGGGGAGTTATTATTTACACTATTTATATTCGAACTATTATCCTCATCTTTGTTGTTGTTATCATAACAATTCAGCCATTGTTCCGGCCTTCCTCGATCTGGGTAACCTACAGGGATTTCTGAACTGAACCCTATATTTAATCTACGGGAGCAGATAGTTCTCATTCTACTGCTATTGTCTTGGAATAATGTCTCATGTCTTGATTGCTGCTGCTGAGGACGAAGACTTCCTGTTATTTGTCTTTCTTTCTTTATTAACGGTTCCCATATTTTTTTAATCGGCATCACACCATCCAAGGCAATAAAGCCACTAAAGCACAAGGGGCTATATATTCATGGTACCCATTGTAGGAAAATGATAAGAAAAATCGATAAAAAGGAACAGAAAGATGTATTTCAATTTATTACTGGCATTGTTAATTTTCAACATGGACACCATCATTACGTATACAAATGGTAATACGATTCTGTAGTTCTCGGAAAACATTTTGCAGCTGATTTTCAGTAATACCTTCAATCACAACAATTCTCCTAGCTTGAAATTCCTCTAAAAATCGAAGTTTAGTTGAATAAACATTACTTTTCACATTTGTCCACAAAAGGAAACCAAATGGAGTCAAAGACAAATTCTGCAAAATTAAAGTTTCTTAAAGAAATGAAGTTTCGAGAAATTAAAAAATAATAATAGATAAAACAAATAATAAATAAATTTTACGAAGACACGAGAAAACTCGACATATCTCGCTTTCCTTTTTACATATTGTTTATATGAGGTAGAGTTACAAAGTTAAAAGTATTTCAAATCGGACGCGGATTTTATAAACATCGTATATATCCCAATCTAGATAGATGAAACGAGACGGTCCAGGAAGATAATCTATCTAGAGGAAGGAAAAACCCCAATTTTAAACATCCGCTGAAGCCCCAAAGACCTGGTAACACTGACAACTTTCCGGTAACCCAAGTCAGTCAGTTATGTGCGATATGTGATACATGACTGACGTATTTAAGTAGGTAGCCATTTCTTTCTTAGAAATGTTGCCATCCAAGGCTATAGCATACTATACCTTAAGAGGATTCATACCTAGCACGTAAGTAAATGTAATGGATTCGACTTGAATTCGAACCCTCAGTCCGAACCGCTATCCATAACTCCACCCTCTTGCACCCAAGTCGAACCCAAATGTAGGGCGGCTTTTAAACTAGTATTAATATAAACCCTTCTTACTGCAGGAATTCAGTCAGATTGTTAAAAGTATTTTATCTATATCTATATCTAATCTGGCATGTGAGAGAGACGTTTTACATATGACAGTCCAAAGAGCAGTGAAAAAATTACTTGAAAATGAAATCGTACATGAAACATGTGAGGCACTTACTTCAGGACAGAAAGTTAGAAGGTTGGAGTGGGCGAAGATCATCTTGAATGTTGGAAAATAAGTTGAAAAAATATATATATATATATATATATATATATATATATATATATATATATATATATATATAATGAAATTCAAAAGTCCGACAATTATCCGAGAAATTTTCATAGAAAATTTGCGTCCTCCGACAGGAATCGAACCTATATCCTATACGGAACCGTCATATAGCCACATAGGAGCGTTTCGGTTAGCAAAGTCGATTTTACTGTTTTTAAACTACAATTCTCCATGATTTTCTCACGTACATTCATATCTGCTCGATGCGTATCCAAATATAAACAAATGACGTCACACGTTATGAAATGAACAAAGTCAGACAATTATTTTAAGACATTTTTCTCAGACATTCAGGCCGGTAAATGTTATTAATACTGTTTATTATAAACAGAGCATTTACTTAAGTATTTGTATCTATAAAAAGAACGTATGATCATAAAAATGTCTTAAAATATATATATTACATGAATACCCAAACAGTAGATTAGTAAAGTTAATGATATAAATAGTGAAAAACATTTTCGAAAACAAATTTACATTAACCCACGAACCACTCAGTGAATGTTATGATCCTTGTTTTTCATACCTTCAAGTTGTATAAGGTCTTTTTCTTATTCTGCTAGTACTTTCGGCTCTACATTCAGCCATCTTCGGGCATGGAAATTGTTTTGTTTTTTTAGTATATCCAGGTAATAGCAGGCACGAAAAATTAAAAGCGAATCGAAATATGTTTTTGTTAGAAACCTTACTAATCTACTTTTTGTATGAATGATTCATGTAATATAAATTGAACTGCACCACATATTTGATTTAAAAAGAACTGATCCGACGTGTAAATTTTCGGGATAACAGCTGCGACATTACTCCATTTATTGAACAATTTAGTTCATGCCACATTGACTGAAAAAAGACTCCTACAACAAGAAAAAATTTTCAAATGACCATATTAGTAAAAAAACGCACTCTCTTAAATTTTCAAAAAATTCAACCTTAGCGTTGCGATTGCACGCTCCTAAAAGTTTTATCCGTTAACAATAACACATTTCTAACAAAAACATACAGCCTCACTTTCCATAAATACTTGGCGAAAAGAGATTACTAAACTACTAAGTTAAGACAGGTGCCTTTTGTATACCGGTACGCGCCTTTTTTCCATAGATGCCTATGCGTCTGGCCGTCGTGTCGTTGTGGATCTGGAAACAACCGCAATTAAGAGGTGGTTCCATGCTCCTCAAAATCTTCAGTCTCTCGATAAGAAGCCTTGCTGCCGGATGTAGTTTATCGTCATACCCAGGAGTTGCTTATAAAAATAAAAAAAAAACTGGCACTATACTCGAGTATACACGGTAATCATTTGTATTTCTCAAGACTTCACAGTCCAGTCTACACTGCTATTTCACCCACAGCGGCTGTTTAGAGAAAAATACAGGATGCGATGAATAAATTGTCATCTAAACGATGCAAAATTGAAAATAAAACTGACATCTCATTCTGACAGATATATTTACCAAAATTACACAAAAATATCTTGAAATACGACTGGCCGTGGTGTCGTTGTTTATAAGTTGTTGTTTTTTGTTTTTTTTTTGTTGTTTTTTGGGTTTTTTTTTCATCCACTCACACCCAGCAAGGCGATAATGCCGCTAAGACGCAAGGGAGCTACTAGGAGTGAAATGGAATGAGAGGACTTCAGAAGGAACCGGAAACACAATCCTAAACAGAAAACAAGGGATAAAGCTCTGCACGTTGTTCAAAAGACCAGGGCGAAGTGTAAAACCGATCGATAGGCGAACCTATCTACTCCTATTGAAGGAAAAAACATAAAATAACAAGTAAATAAAATTTCAGAGTTTAGGCGGAGATGTTAGATGAATAGAATAGAAGTAGACTTTAGAAGGAAACGGAAACCCAATTTTAAACAGAGATCAAGGGATAAACCTCTACTCCTTTTCAAAAGGCCGGGGATGAGTGTGAATTGGACGATAGGCAACGCTATCTACTCCTATTGAGGAAAAAAAAAACAAGTAAAAAGTAAATACAATTTCAGAGTTTAGGTGGAGACGCTAAATCTAAAGTAGAATTTAGAAGAACCCAATCCTAAACAGGAAACAAGGGATAAACGTATAGTACTGTTCAAAACACCGAGGAGGAGTTTGAACCGGACGATGGGCGAACCTGTCTACTCCTATTGAAAGAAAACACATAAAATAAATAGTAAATACAATTTCTGAGTTTCGGTGAAGACGCTGGATCTAAAGTAGAATTTAGAAGCTGGAAACCCAATCTTAAACAAGAAACAAGGAATAAACCTCTACTCGTGTTCAAAAAACATGGGAGGAGTGTGAACCGGACGATAGCAGAACCTGTTTACTTCTATTATTGTAAAACAAAATAAACAGTAAATAACATTTCAGAGTTTACACGGAGACGTTAGAATTATAAAGTAGGCTCCAGTTATTCTCACAAAACATTGCTACCGAAGTGAGATCGATCCGAACCGAGTTTTTTACTCTTTTTATCCTGGTACTATATGAACAAGATTTTGTGAATTTTTAAACACCAAGCCGTGGAGCTGTGATTAGGAATCTAGATTAGAGGTTTCGATTCTTTCTGGGTACCACATACTTGTGGTCTTGTATCATTCTAACTAAAGCTGTGTAAAGACCTATATTAGTGTGCGATTGATGATTGTGTGTGCATATGTGTGTACTTGTGTAAGAGAGAGAGAGAGAGAGAGAGATAACGAGTGTGGTGGAAGCAGACAGAGAAACGTATGAGGTTGTAGCAATAAGTGAGAGTGCGTGTGTGCGATTTCGTGATGAGGGAATGGCAGAAAAAAGCGGGGGTGGATGAAATGTCTGCTATTATCGGTAGAGTTTCAGACTTACTTACATCATTGAAGAAGAAGAAGAAGAAGAAGAAGAAGAAGAAGAAGAAGAAGAAACGGGACAGAGGAGTAGGAGGATGAGAAGAAAAGGGCGGAGAGGCAAAAGAAAAAAGGGTGGAGGTGAAACTGAGGAGGTGTGGCGGAAGAAAAAGAGGTGGAGAAGAAAAAGGCGGGAGGAGAACAATGAGAAGAAAGGAAGAGTAGGAGTAGAAGGAAAAGGGAGGGAGTGGTATGAAAGACAAACGTGGAGGAAGAGGGGGAATAAAAGAGGAGTGGGTAAGAATAAGGACGAGGAAGGGAAAGGTGGAAAGAAAAGAAGAAAAAGTGTACGTGCAGGTGGTGGTGGGGGACGAAAAACGTGAAGGAGGAGAATAAGAGATGCGGAGGGAAAGGAGGAGGAGAACAATGAGAAGAGCAAAAAGAAAGAGGAGGAGGAGATGAAAAAGAGAGGGGTGAAGAAAAAAAGGGGGAGAAGGAGAATGAAAAGTAGGTGGAGGAGGAGAAGGAAAGAAAAAGATGGAAAGAGAAAAGGCGAAGAGGAAAAGGAAGAAAATTAAAATGACAGGTAGGTAGGAGGAAAAAAGAGGTGTGGTGGGCTGCCCCAGTAAAATTGGACTCAATCACCCACCATCCAACCCTTCGTCATTTTAAACTAAAAAAACCCAAAAAAAAAAAAAAACCCCAAAAGAATCGATTCTTTTCTTCAGTTAGTCATTTACCGACAATAGTGAACGCGCACACACATCTGTTAAATAACGGTCTCATATCAAACAGGTTAAAAAACAAAGCCGAAACAAGTGGTTTAAAAAAAATACCGTCAATTTGTAATATACTTTTAAAACAGCGAAACCAGCGGATAACGAGAGACAACGACAAGCTCTACACTTGCCAAAACGAATGGACTTGCTTGAATGATTTCAGAAAAAAAAAAGAAAAAAAAAAAAAGGCAGAATCGAATATATAAGTAATTCGTATATGTTACCCCTTGTGTCGTCATATACGCCCGTAGAAAATGAAAATTTAAAAAGAGAAAAAAATAATGACAGTTTCTTGCCTGCCTTGAGCTAATAATTTGTATCTTTTCTTTAAGTGAATTTTAAAAGTTTTTTTTTCTTAAGGCGTATTGCTTTTAGTTTTATTTTACGAGAATATTTTTGTAACGTCTTCTTTCTTTTTTGCGTCAATAGACTTAAAAAAAAAAAAAAAAAACCCAAAAAAACTTCAAAGCATTGTTTGTGATAATTTCAACTTCTTTAACTAGATTCCCTAATTATTTAATCACGATTATAGCAAGTTTTAGGGGTATTTATTATTATTATTATTATTATTATTTGAGTTTTCCCGACAATAACAGGTGTTTTCTTATTGGGGATCAAGTGACATCAGTTTTCCTTCGACCCTTACTATTCTTCTGTTGTTGTTATTAATAGTTCTGGATTGTTCCCAACGATTTATTGGTATTTTCAATTTTGTCTATTATTTTCATTTCTTTTGCATTAGTAATTACCTTGGTGCCATAAATTTCTTTATAAGAAGATTTCGTTAATGAATGTCATATCTGTCCCATTTTTGTAGAAATAAGGGACTTCTATATACCTACAGCGTGTAAGTGCGCGCGGTTTATATACGAAAAGAAAAAAAAAAAAAATTATTGTTATTGACGAACGTACGAACAAATTTTAATCCCAAGAAAGACTTGCGTAGCTGTAATTTTAAAATCTCAAACTTCAGCGCGCTTTTAAATATATATATATATATATATATATATATATATATATATATATATATATACATCTTTTTCTCCCACTTGCTTGAGTTTTCGTGATTAGAACAATATTCATTTTCAGATGGAAGTGGGATTTCGCTGTGACGTCACAAAAACGTCATCATATTTTTAACAATTGACGTTTTTTGCGTTCATTGTCCTTTTTCTTGGCTACAAATTACTTTTTCCATAAATTCTTAGTTGAATTTTCTACCGCAGTATTTTTTTTTCTAATAATCGTTTTTTTTTTTTTTTATGTTTCTTTATTTGCTATGTCCGATTAGTTTTTGTAAATAGTTTTGTGGGGGGCTTTTTGTATTTTTCTTTACTTTGGGAATAAGATTAATTTCATTTCAAATCGTCTTTTTGTTTGATTTATTTTCCAAAGGGATATTTTTTTACCATCACCAGAATTACAAGCTGCTCGAGTCTAGAGTTAACCTTTATCTTCCCCACATATCCGCATAAACTGTACCTATTTCATCTTTACCTTCTACCTCGGGTGGCTTTTGAGCCTT